TTTGGGGTTAAGTCTAACTTTGTCCTTTATTTATTACCCTAAGCACTTATTGTCCTTTAAGTTTGCTAAACTTGAGCATGTTTAGTCCACTTAACAAAAGACTCAAACTGGTGGGTAAAAAAACTTTCAGTACTCAAATTTTGCAGAATCGATGTAGTGAACGAGTAGTGTTTGTTTGCTATTGTAATCCTTGGTTAACTATAAATATTAGAACTTTTAGCCAAAATTGTCCCTTATATTTGGGGTTAAGTCTAACTTTGTCCTTTATCTATTACCCTAAGCACTTATTGTCCTTTAAGTTTGCTAAACTTGAGCATGTTTAGTCCACTTAACAAAAGACCCAAACTCGTGGATAAAAAAACTTTCAGTACTCAAATTTTGCAGAATCGATGTAGTGAACCTAAACATGTTTAACATGCCGGGTTGACCCGGTTCCGGACCGGCCTAGACCGGTAGTAAATCGGACCGGCCCAGACTGGTAGAAAAGGGTCAGGTAGGGCTGGGTTTGGGGGTTAGTCTGTATATATTTTTTTACCGGTTAACCGGACCGGTCAAACTCGGTCAATGAAAATTACTGTTGAATCGGTTAACCAGGACTGGCTCGGTTGAGAAAAATAGTGACCGGTCGGTCACCAATCCTGGCCGGTTGCCAAGTTTTTAAAATCGGGCTTAACTAGTCCGGGCACATCCGATGAAAAATTGAACCGGAACGATTCCAGGCCTAAGGGTCCGGTCCGGCCCACCCCTTTGTCACATTTAAGATTGTAGAAACAAGTTTGATAATTTTTTTAAAAAAATAAAAAAAAATAGTCGTTGAACCGGGTCGGGCCGGTCCGGTTAACCGGTTAAAGTAACTTTCATTGACCGGGTTTGACCGATCCGGTTAACCGGTAAAAAAATATATACGAACCAACCCCCTAACCCAGCCCTACCTGGCCCCCTTCCACCGGGCCGGTCCGGAACCGGGTCAACCCTGCCCGTTAAACAGGTTTAGGTTCACTATATCGGTTCTACAAAATTTGAGTACTTAAAGTTTTTTTACCCACCAGTTTGGGTGTTTTGTTAAGTGGACTAAACCTGCTCATGTTTAGCAAACTTAAAGGACAATAGGTGCTCAGGGCAATAGATAAAGGACAAAGTTAGACTTACCCCCAAACATAAGGGACAATTGTGGCTAAAAACTCTTAAGTGGACTAAACTTGCTCAAGTTTAGCAAATTTAAAGGACAATAAGTGCTTAGGGCAATAGATAAAGGACAAAATTAAACTTACCCCAACATAAGGGATAATTTTGACTAAAAACTCATAAATATTAAATACAAATATTTTGTAAAAAAAAAAAAAAAAAATTAGCGCGCTGTACGTAACGTTAATAAGGTGGTCCAGAAAGGAATAACGGTCAAAAACAAGTAATTGGGCAAATGGCGCGGCCGGGTCCAATGCATCGGATTCTATAAATCTCTGTTTATTTTAATATCTCTGACTATTAAAAGATGTTCTATCCTATCTGTCTGTGCAGATATAATATTCACATGTAGCTTTGGAAAAATTACACGAGCCAGTAGAAAATAACCTTTTAACTCCCATCTAAATCTGTAAAAAGAATGCTCTTTCGGCTTTAAAAAAGGTCTCTTTTATTTGGTCATCAAATGGTCCTTCTTATGATAGTAGTAAATTTGTCAACTCGTCTAACTTGAGAATTGAGGTGGAATCATTAGATTTTTATTGTTGAATCAGTAACTGAAAGAGACAAAACGTTGCCCCCGGGTCAATTTGAGTCATTATGTTTTAGAAAAGTGCAAAACTTTCCCCATTTTTTCTCCTTGGCACTACCTGTGACATTTGATACCTCCAAAATATACTTCTTGCCTTTTACCCTTGCAATACATAAAACAAACAGTTCAGATGATTTTTCAATTTTTTAATTCAAGGTACCGAAGTTTATCCTATTGAAAAATAGATACAGGTAAATTACCTAAGGTAATTAATTAGCACATCTGCTGCTTAGTCATTAGATTAGTCAATTAGATGTATTTTTGTTCATTGTCGATGCTAATACGATCATATGTGGATGTCTTTATGATTTCATTAGATCTCGAAAGGATTAGTTCGTTGCTGGAATGTGAAATAAGTCAATTTTTGAGACATTGCTTACATATGTTTTTTTTTTGTTTTTTCGTTCATCACTTGCCTATATATGCGGGCAATGCAGATATACATACACGTATATGGTACATGATTTTTAAAAATATCATTATCTTTTATTAGAAGCCTGGTCTACAAAGAAAATCAGCATTAGAAGCAATTTCCTATGGGGGAAGGGTTGGGGAGCAATGCAAAATTTTCCAGGATTCTGTCAATGACTTTATTTTCCTTCTTAATCTTTTTGATCATTTTTCAGCAATCAACTTTAATAAATAAAGGCAAAGAAAGGACAATTATTTCAGACAGAAACAAAGGAATGAAAGGAATTCAATTATGCAAAGTTCTCCTCTCTTCGTACTGAAACTTCTGTGGATAATTGGCCACCAAACAATACATTATAAAGACATAATCAGTGGCCAATAATGCACCTTCCAGATTACAAGATAACAACTACATAGCTCCAATAAAACAATTCTGATTGATACAAAGACGATGCATCGGCAAGAAGTTTCAGTAAGCATAAAATGAGGAGATACTAGTCTCAGGAGAATGTGGACTTAAGTTTTAGTTTTATCGATATACCAGCTGACACGGACGATTTGGGCATTCAAAACTTGTAACCTCTAGATCTTCTGCTTCAAGACATGGCGCAACTGGACCTTCTGGCTCTCCATTCTTGCCTCCAACAGCTTTGATTTTAAACTGTGCTTGTGAGAATTCCGCGGCCATTCAATGCATCCTTTCATCCCTCGTGTTATTTGTGGATTGGTTGAGTCGGGTGAGCTCCACTGTCCAGCAAGGTCTGAGGCGCTAAATCCACTTTTACTCGAACCATGATCTGGAGAAAGAACGGCGCAATTTGATAGCCTCCCATTCATTCCTTCTACTGATATCTTTTTGTAATTGTCTCCATTCGATTTCCAAAGCCTAGATATAGATGACACCTTCTTAAGCTGCCGACCTGGTCCTAAACATACTTCACTTATCTCTGTAATTGGTGTACCATCACCTCTTGAGACATTGCTATACTTCCTGTTGGTAGAAGAGATGCTTCCTTCAGGAGAATAACTAGAGCCTTGTTCATCGAGATGGCTCACTGTTTCCCATTCACTTCCCTCTTCCTCTAAATCATCGCTTTGATTGACATCTGCGTGAGAATGTCTGTGGAAGTTGTCTTTATTGTATACACCACCATCAGGACTGTATGCAGGAGATGGCTCAATCTCCCTGTCATTATTTTCAATAAAATTAACATCCTCAAACACAGAGAAAATATCATCTGGGTGTGGAGGTTCATAAGTGAATTCCGTGATATCACGAATATCCACTGAAGCAGCTGTCTGTTGAAGCTGCTCAGCTCTTTTGATCACTTCCTCGCCGTGGTTCATACCTATAGAACTTAGAAAAGACTCTAGCTCTGCAATTAGTCTATTCATCTGGGAATACTTCTCTTCTAGTGTCACCTTAGCATCAACTAGCTTCATCTGAACCCGTTCCTCACGCCAAACCTCAGCCATCTGCAACATCTTTCTTTCTTCATCTACTTCCTCTCTTAGTGTCTGAGATTCTCTCTTCAATGCCTCGACTTCGGCCTTGTCTTCTCCAATTTCCTTAGCTAATTCTTCACACACTTCCTCTATCAACTCTCTACCCTTCCTTTCTTTTTCGTAATCTTGAAAGTAGCGCTTTGCTGATAACTTGGCATCAGCCACCTCATTAACTAGCTTGGAATTAACTATTTCCAGCCTCTGTCTGTTTTTCCTTTCTCTGGACAAGTCAGCTTTCATATCATCTATAATTGCACGAATTTTCTCGTGTTCTCGGCTTCTCCATGCTGTCTTCTCTTCACTAAGTTTTCTCAGAAACTGCTCGAGTTTCTTTTTTGATGACCGCCGCTCCATCTCAAGCTGATAAATCCGGGAGCGAGCCTGCTCTAATTCACCCTCAAGCTTAGAAATCATTGCAGCATTCTTCGACTGTTTATCAGGAACCTTGTGATGGCCATAAATCTCCTTTATTTCCTCAGCTATTTGCCAGCCAACTGGATCCCACTTTGTTGCCCCTTCCATAGCTGAGTTTGAATATTGAAATGACGGTTCTAGCTACAGAATATAGTGGTAACCCTTTTGTTAGACGAGCAAGTACGGAAACAATGAGACAGCAATGGTGAAATAGTACCATTACTAAACTGAATACCAAGAGTCTTTAATACTCAAAAAGAAAAACATTCATTAACTTCCGATAACTCTAGGATTTCCCTAATACAAGGGAAGTCGCTTTTCCTGCGCCTATTACATTGTTTAGGACTATTAAGAAAACTTTAGGACTTACATAAAAGAGCTTAGATAGTTAAGAAAATATTGAGAAAGCACCTACATACCTTGTGAAAAAGACCATTTCTTGGACCGGAGACAGATCGAGGACTCTGCACTGTATCATTAATGTGAGAATCATTCTCTTCACTGTGATGATGATGGCCATAAAAGGGCACATCAACATGACCAGCCTGCAGGAAGGAAAGGAAAAATAAAGTTGAGAAAAGTTGCTTAACTTAGGATCTAGAATAATACCACACTAGTCGAATTTACCATTCGTTCTAAGGTCAGAAATGTACCAACTTGGAGACGGTTATGGTCCTAAATCACAGGGACTAACAAAATTAAACTACCAACATAAGAAAATGAAAAGGTCAATGTTAGCAGAAGTGAAGCTGCTCACAATTATACCAAAGGGACCAGAAAATAATCTCAGCTGGGAAGATTAAAATAGATTATAGAGATGATACTTAAACTTCAATCCTACAGTTTCTAATCATGCATTCATAATTGCTTTGTCAATTTCTTTTTTAAGGAAATGCCAAAGTCAATGTAAGTAAAGCAAGTAATCTCAAACTAGTTGAGGTCGGCTACATAAATCCTCAATATAATATCAATTCCGCTCTATTCAAAAAGGATTATAATCATTTAGATTCCAAATACAATTGACATTCAACATATAAATGACCAAAACTAGAGAGGAAAAAAAAAACCTAAAGCTGCATTCTTTAATATTTCTTAAATGAACTACCTGAAATGCTAAGTTTTGAGGTGGGATATTGGGAACTTCCGGCAACTGCAGCCTCCATAATCCAGCAGCTAACTTCCTTGCAGAAACCAAGGTTTTAACTTTCCGGCCAGATTTCCGACCAAGCTCCACAGTAGACTTGTCGGCGTCCCAGGTACAAGCAGCATTGTCATTTACATCCTCGTTATATTTCCAACGTAGTAAAGGGGTCTCGGGCCTGCTCTTTTTCCCACCTGCAATATCTCTCTTTAACCTCACTCCGGTGCCGGAGTTCTTGGTTTTCCGGCGAGGCGGTTTACGAGAGCAAAAGGGTTTGTGTAAAAGATCTGAATCAGGTAAAGGGTTCACTAGTTTGGATGATGTAATTGTTGGAAGCTCAGCTTTGTTAGCAGTGACCTTCATCTTTGATGCGCAGATTTAGCCATTACTCAGCTCTTTTGGTTTATTGCCTTTTCTGGGAGTTAGTGACATAGATGGGCTGAGTATTAGAGTTGAGGGGGGTAGGGGACTGGTAGTATGGGGGGCCCGGGTGATGAGGTTTGAGGAGGGGGGGTGGGTTTTCTGTGATCTCTTTTGGTTTTGAGGCGAAGGCAGAGAGAGAAGCAAAGTGCAGTGTGTGTGTGTGTGATGTAATACGTATAAGTAGATTACTTGTACGGTCAACGTCTCTCATTAACAATAAATCTTTCTTTTTTTCTTCCATTATATCTGGTAATTGCATTTAGATACTCACATTAAAATCGCACAGGGAATGGTTAACTTGTATTACAGGGTTGTATGGAGTGGTTTTGGTCAAAAACGGCGTCGGTTGGTTCTTAACTGGAAGGTGGCGGTTAAAAAATGTAGTTTAACAGGAGTGCCAGGCTGCCGTTAGGCATGGTCCCACGCCCCTCTCCAGCGGGAGCGCGTAATGACTTTGCCGCTGCAATTTTCTTTTCCTATTTTATTAAGGGGGCGTTTGGATATAAGAATTGTAAAATTACAAAACAAAGGTGAAAACAAAATTCAAGTAAAAATAATATTTAAAATTTAGAGTTGTGTTTGGACATGAATATAATTTTGGGTTATTTTTGAAATTTTGTGAGTGATTTGAGTGAAAATTTTGAAAAACAGCTTTTTGGAGGTTTTTAAAATTTTCGAAAATTTCCAAAATGCATCTTCAAGTGAAAATTGGAAATTTTATGAACAAACGCTGATTTCGGAAAAAAGTAAATATTTTTTGAAAAAAAGAAAAAAATTTCTTATGTCCAAACGGGCTCTAAGTTGAAGTGTTAAGGACATTCACTCGGTTTAGCAATTTTAGCTTAATGAACCTTGCAGTATTTTAGCCCAATTAAAAATTTATAAATATGTAGCCAAATAACAATAAGCTCATATCCAAAATAAAAGTTTTTTTGTTTTTTTGATTCTCTAGATCTTTGCGAGAAATATATCTGAGTTTCTATTTTTTTTTTTCCTCAAGTTTATACATACCTATCCCGGCTACAAAAATGTAAAAACAGACACGAGAAACCTAAAATCTCACCTTCTTCAATGCTAATCCTATTAAAATTCGAATATGATTTTGTGAGAAATTTAGAGTGGGTATTGTTTGAACTTATTAGAAATAATCTAAGTATGTTGTATACAAAGTTTGAAAGTCATTTGATGGAGATTTGGACTAGTTTGAACAAGCATTGCAAGTGAAAAAATCGTACAAGAAATTCGTCGGATATGCTTATACACTTTATAAAATTTTGATAGAATTTTGGCGGTATGTGGGTAGAGCAGGCGTGGAGTGGCTGACAAGGTCGTTTAATGTTATTTTTAGGACAAAGAGGATGCCAGATGAGTAGAGGCGGAGTACGATGATTTCCTTATACAATAATAAAGGTGATATCCATAATTGTAACAACTATAGGGTATCAAGTGACTAAATCATACCATGAAAGTTTGGGAGAAGGTGGTAGAAGAGAGCGTGAGGAGAGCGGTGTCTATATCAGACAACCTGTTCGGATTCATGCCGGATCATTCTACTACGGAGCTATCCACCTTATAAGGAGGTAGGTGAAACAGTAAATAGATAGGAAAAGGATTTGCACATGGTGTTTATTGACCTAGAAGCGTATGACAAGATCCCTATGGAGGTTATTTGGAGATGCCTGGAGGTGAGAGGTGTGCTGGTAGCTTACAGTAGGGTGATAAAGGACATGTATGATAAAGCTAGGACTCGGGTTAGGACTGTGGAAGTTGACTCGAAGTATTTTTCGGTTGTTATGGGGTTACACCAAGGATCTGCACTCAACCCGTTCTTATTTGCCATGGCGATGGATGCTCTAACACACCATACTCAAATGGAGGTGCCATGGTGTATGTTGTTCGTTGATGATATAGTTCTAATAGATGAGACGCGAGGCGGCATTAACGAGGAATTGGAGGTTTGGAGACAGGTCCTTGAGTTTAAAGGTTTCAAATTGAGTAGGACTAAGACAGAATATCTTGAGTACAAGTTCAGCGACGTGACGAGGGAAGCTGACTCACAAATCATCCCCAAGAAAGGAAGTTTCAAGTACCTAGGGTCAATTATCCAGGGGATGGGGAGATCAACGATGATGTCACACACCGTGTAGGGGTGGGTGGATGAAATGAAGATTAGCATCTTGAGTCATGTGTGACAAGAATGTGCCACCAAAACTTAAAGGTAAGTTCTACAGAGCGGTGGTTAGACCGGTCATATTGTATGGGGATGAGTGTTGGCTAGTCAAGAAGTCACATATCCAAAAGTTGGAAGTAGCAGAAATGAGAATGTTGAGATAGATGTGTGGGCACACTAGGTTGGATAGGATTAGGAATTAGGATATTCGAGAGAAGGTGGGTGTGGCTCCCATGAAAAACAAGATGAGGGAAGAGAGACTTAGATGGTTTGGGCACGTGTGAAGGAGAAGCCTAAATGCCCCGGTTAGGAGGTGTGAGCAATTGTCTTTGGCAGGCATGAGAAGAGGTAGAGGATGGCCTAAGAAGTATTTGGGCGAGGTGATCAGGTAGAACATGGCGCGACTTCAAATCTCTTAGGACATGGATCTTGATAGGAAGGTGTGGAGGTCGAGCATTAGGGTTGAATGATAGAGGTAATCGAGTCTACTTTATACCGGGGGTGGGACTATTATGATAGTATTTTGTCTTGGACTACTAGTGACGTATGTTGTGTTTACTATTTTCTCATTTTCATAATATTGTGTAATTAGTAAATATTTTGTTATTGCCTTTCCACCTATTTTTCTGTCTTTTACAATGTTGATATTAGCTCTCTGGTTGCTGCTGCAGGTAAGGATCTTTTGTCTCTAATTCGTCTTTTGAGCTGAGGGTCTCCCGAAAATAACCTCTCTACTCTTTCGGGGTTGGGGTAAGGTCTACATATACTTTACCCTCCCCATACCCACTTGTAGCATTTTACTGGGTTGTTGTTGTTGTTGTTGCTATATGCTTATAAACTTTTATACAATGTTATACACACTTATACAAAGAGGTATATTATGTATATTATTGTATAAAAGTGTATAAAGATTTATAAGCACTGTAGTGAAAATATTCGTGATATACTATGAATATAGGTGTATAAGAAGAAAAGAAGAAGAAAACATAAGAAATTCATTAAATACATGTAAATATTATATTAACTATGTATGAAATAATGTATAAGAGGTGTTTATATACTATTATACACTACTTATGCAATATTATACACTAGTATACAAATGAATCCTATAAATGGAGTTTCAAAGTTTCTTCTTCTTCTTTTTCCTTGAGCATCTTCTGAAATTTAACTCAAATCTAGCTTAAATCTACTCTAAATTACCTCAAACTTAAGTTTTAAACTCCTCGTGATGATCCACTCAATTGGGACAATACCAAATCCAAACAACTAACAAATCACAAAATTCAATTTCTGAAATTAAAGCTTCAAACAACATTTAATGGTGACTTTTATTTTTCAAGTTTTTAATCAACCACTGGAATTAATTATATTTTAAACGAGGATAAGACTGAGACAATGTCAACACCTTCTTTCTAGGTTGATGATCCAACAACCTACCAAGCGAACCTCTTTAGTGCATGGCAATAAACATAGTTCTCTCCATTATAATGGAAGAAATGATCTTCATATGACTCCAAAAAATTCATTCTTTTACATGTTATTTTTTCTTCTTCATCCAAATAGTGACTATCAGCTTTGAATCTGGAAGGATAATTGAAGGAGAATAACAATGATAAAAAAATTTTAGGGTGCAAAGTCATGACACGGGGAGAAGACGAACGAAGAAAATAAAAATAAAATAATTAAAAAGGGTGGGCTAACGGGTAAAAAGTTTGGGGCAAGTGCACATATAGCCATTATCATGGGTGATATTTAGAGATTAGCCAGTATTTTTTTTGTCCCGAAATTTTAAACTAAAAATCTTAACTTCATGACAATTCAGGAAATTCTTTTGCTGAAAATTGAACTGAAAAGTTGGAATTCATAACGCACTGGCTAATTCTTAATACCAGCCCTTTAGAGTGGCTATCTCGTGTCATTTTACGTAATTTTCAGGTTATATATACAATCTGGACCATATCGAGTAAAGTTTTCAAACGTGGACCATTTTCTGATGAGTTGTTGGGCCAAGTGATAATGCGTGTAATTCTCCCTAGCTTAATTAATTTCAGGCAAAAGTTACTTAGCTAATCTTATTAGCCGGTGTAATATAAGCGTAGTTTCGTAAGCATGGGTGGAATCTAGTCAGGGAATAGCTGATCATCGTGATCGCTCCGATCAAATTTTAGATACGTATAAAAGAAACTAGTAAGGGATGGCCCATGCTACGCATGAACCCAATAATACAATGCTTAGGTTGTGTTAATTAGTATGTGTTAAAGAATTTCTTAATTTATATGCACCGATAACATAAAAGTTTACTTAAGATAGTTATGGATAGTTTATTAGACGATGTTACCTTTCGTTCAAAATAAATGCTTAGTTTTTGACACGTGCATTAAGAGAATCATTTAATAGCATTAATATAAGTGTTATTTAACGAAGTTATCCTTTATATCTTCTTAAATTACTCTTTATATATACTCATATTTTGTAGATCATTTATTGGTTCAAGGATAATTTGGAAAAATACTAATACATGCCTTCTTGATTTTTCAAAGTCATAATTACTTTTGCCAAATTAATTTAGCTCAAATAAAACGTATTTTTTATCATATGGAAGTCGATGAAAGCTACTAAATGTACTGGTAAGATACCAGTAATGCCTCAAAAGCATATATATATATATATATATATATATATATATATACCTTTTTAATTTATTTAAATAATAAATAGGAAAATAACTTTACAAGCAAGGTCATTACTTATTTTTCTTTTTCACGTTAAGTTGGACTCTATTTTTCTATACTATTTTATTTTTATAAGATTTTGAGAGATGTGTATTGCTAAAGTTAGATTAATATTAATTTATAGTGATAGAAATGAAAAATCAATTTTAATTTAAAACCATGAGCTTCCCTTGTTTACCAAAAAGAAGGGACTTTAATTTTATTTTATAAGATTTTAAAAATAAATATGCTGAAGTTAGACATATTTTTCTTTATTATGACGGAAAGATATATTATTTTAATTAAAAAGAAACTATGAAAAATATATTTTTTATTTACTATGAAGTTCACGTTTGAGAAGGAAAAATTCGAAACTACATACGCCCAAAATATAAGCTAGACAACATACTTATAGATTTGTGAGAAGACGAAAGTTAAAATTTATGAAATTCCAACTTCAAATAATTCTTTTTCCACCTTTTCTAATGATGTCATAAATGGAATTCACATTAATTAATCATTCTCCATATACAACTGTAAATGAATAAAAGCTAATAATAATATAATCTAACCTTAAGATATTTATGTTAAACTCATACATATTGCTAAGTATTCTATTATTTTTTTCTCATTCAAGTACACTCTTTGTATGTTTCTATACTATTTTTCCTAAATAAATGTATTCGGCGTAAAAGATGACAACCTAAATTATGCTTTATTATACGTATAATATAAAAGATCATTAAAATTCTAAATATTTTTATGTAGTTTTCCACTTTTAATTCACATTTAGTGCACTCAAACTAAATTACAGTACTTCAAATCAAATACTAATTTTTACGTATAGATAGCAGTGTAAGACTACACCTAGTAGTAAACAAAGCAGCATTAGTCACATATGAATAAGAACTTTAAATGGGCTCCATTTCTTCAATGAGTTGTACAATACAAATAGTTACTCCCTCTAGTCCATATGATTTTTTTGGTCTTTTTGTGGTCCAAAATAAATGATTTTTTCAGATTTCAAGAATGAATTAATTATTTTTTTCTACATTATCCTTGGAGTAGTAAATAATGTTAGAGTATATGTTAGGAGTATTTATGTAAAGAGATAATAAAAATTAATAAAGTCAAGTTCATTGCTAATTAATATTAAAAGATGGATTTCTTAATCAAACATTAAAAACATTAGTAATTGTGAATAGGAGGGAGTACATGCAAAATGATAGAAACGTGTAAAACAAAATTCAGATGGGACCCACATCTCCATAAAAGCTTTTGGAAACTATGGTGATGTATGATGTGATAAGCAAGGGGCAATTTAGTCAAGTCTAACTCAAAGATTTATATGGCAGCTACAATAAGATACCTTTTTGGCCAATAGCATTGCTCCGTTTTAATTAAGTTTACTAAAACGCCCTTGAGGTGCCAAAGCATTGACATTTTGTGTGCTTATCCCTCCTATTAATAATCAATATTAGATAGAATTTAAAGCTTTTGGTTGTGTTACTTGTATCTGTCTTTGTACTGCATATTAGTTATGTTAGCTTTCTTCATGTTTATGCTCTTTTGGTAAAGTGATATTAGAACTCTCTTACTAGTTACTCCTAGTTTATAAATAAAGGGGAACATAATTCTTTAAACTGACAAATATATAATATATGTATCAGTCATATATAATATTTTTCTTTGTTTCAAAAAAGACTAAACTTATTACTATTTGAAGAATTAAATAATACTTTTTACCATATTTTTGCAAATATATTTTTTGAATATTTTGAATTGAGACTTATAGTATTTTTATGCAATTTTAAAATATGCAAATTTTATTTAAAAAACCGTAAAGAATCTATGTACTAATTCACACCAATAATTATTCAATGATTCAAATAAATATGTATATAACCGTCAATATATAATTTATATTTATTGGCTAAAATACATAAGTAATAGTAAATCAGATTGACTATTTGTGTATGGTCCCTAAATAGATGGGTTAGGACTTAGGAGTCTAATAATAGTACGGTGAGGGGCCCGGCGAATGTAGGTGCGTAGTACACTTCCTAAGATTGGTTGCATTATTTAGTTACAGGGGAAAAAAGGGGAAAAAGCATCCGAGGGAATTAGCACGTGCACTCTATTTTGGCTTCATGCACGCACTTGCGTTGCGTGTTCCCTCTTCCGGTGCTCTACCACTCGGCACCGGAACCAAATGTAATTCTTTTGGACTCAAAAAATCATAATATATGGGAAAAAAATTTGG